GATGACCTGAGTCATGGGCATCCTGGTCAAGGATTTGAAATTGGGCATCTGCTTACATCACGGCTGTTATTAATGCTTTTGTGGCCCTGATATTGGGACCATGTCTTCTCAATCTCTGTTATGGTTGATACATTGTATCAACTTGAATTTAGAAGGTTAAATAAGTGGTTCAGCAGGGGGCCAGAGTCCTTACTTTGTAAATATCCTGAGCCTCTGCAAGAGGAGGGCAGGCAGATGGTGTGAGTGCTACACTCATCCTGGGATTTGGGGTAAGCATGCTTATAATATAAGGGAGGAAAAGAGGCTCCCTCTCCTCCTATTTTTGCTCTTGTGGCTTTTGCTGTCTTCTGCCACCTTGAACTATTGCCCCTGTGCCATGCTACGCTGCCTTGGAGCCAGCTGATTATGGACTGAAACCTCCATAAACTGTGAGCTAAATAAACCTTTCCTTCCTTAATTTTGGTTGTCAGGTACTTTGTCTCAGCAATGAGAGAAAAGTAATCAAGACAACCTCTTAGTCAAATTTTTTTCTTCTTGTTTCACAGCTTTAAAGATATATATGGCATAAACACACTGACGCTCCCTTTGACTTCTACTGAGGACTTGTAAATAGGTCTTCCATAGATGACCTCTGACTACTGTCCCTCAATAATGCTCTCTCACAACAGGAAGCAGCTTGAGAGAACTTTTACTACCAAGGCACCCTGATAGCAGTTAGTGTCACTACTGTAGCGGGGGAAAATTTACACCAGGAGATAGAAGTAAATTAGGGCACAGGTCCTGAGTACTTAACCTGAAGTAAACTAAAAGTCAGAGTTTAAGTGAGTTGACAAAAAAAGGCCCAAATAATGAACTCCAGTATACCACCAGGGCCCAGTGGAATGTAAAGGACAGAGGACATGTTCACAAACAAACTCTGAGGAGACTTGGAGGAATTGAAAACAAACAATTTCTGGACATCAGTAGCCTCCCATCAACTAGTAGTATAGAGGAATGATCAGGCCCCTAATATCCTAAAATGAGTTACATCAAAGGCTTAAATAAAGTGACAATTTGCATGGCTTTTGGGGAGTCTAGAAAGGTCAAAGTGCTCTGGGAGAGAAACTCTAAAGGAGTAGAGACAAGGACTTTCTGGATCACCATATCTATTAGGTTTTCACAGATTTGGGGGTGCAGGAAGAGGAGGACACATTGGAGGCAAAATCCCACAAAAGGACCAGAGTCTTGAGAAACAAAAGCAATACATCTTGCCAATTAAGGAAACTGTTTGATCTCTAAAGTTGACAGTTTTATTGATCTGGAGTAGGGAGTATCAGCAGTACGTCCTCAGCTGCCTCATCTGTGGTGTTATCTTGACTTCAGAACACTATGAATATGAGTTTTTCCAACACAGCCAGAGTTCCTTTTGTGACCAGCAACTGAACCCTTACATAGCCTGGTCTCCAGCATCTCCCCCTTTTTGTTTTTGTAATTGTAGTAGTTACACGTGACTTGAGGTTGTACAGGTCTAGGCATTGTTTGATTTGATGCCCTCTATAGCAGATTCAGAACAGAAATAAAAGACACAAGCATGTTAACATAATCAATCCAGTGTGGAATCCAAGATGGGTCTGGTGGTAGCAGACTTCACCACAGGTTTGGAGATCTCCTCTCTCTATGGACACACATACAGGGATGGCAGTCATGATGATTTTTTTGTGACCCGTTAATAGATGAACATATCCTCATTTCCACATTATTAACTGTACTGGGCCATCCTGCTTTTTTGTTTGGATGTCTTTTTGTGAAGGAAGCCCTGATAAAATATGTTTACTTTTTGTTAGTGGGTTTAAAAATGTTTTTAAAGTGTCAAGGTCTAATTATGTTTGGTGGGGGGAACCATACTCCCCTTTTTTGTTTATTTAATTGGCTTTTAATAGACAGGTGTGTATTTTCCAATGTGTCTTTGGCACACGTGTCATTTTTGTTGAAGATCTACCCTGTCTAATTACTTGTAATATTTGTAACTAACAGCCATTTACAATATTTTTTCCTCTAAAGACTGTCCCTAATTGTGATACTGGAGATTGGGCATAGTTTTCATCTTAATTGCTTCAAACTGAGAAAGGTTGATGTAAGGGGAGATCGCAGTCAGGAGTTTTTTTTCCATATAGTTAATCTAGTGGGCCTCAGATTGAAGTCATGTTGCAGTTCAATAATTATGAACTCTCTTTATGAGATCAATCTGGTGGATCTCAGTAGAAGGAATCTGTTATATTTATTGTTGGTTTTATCTGCATGATCACTTGAAGTTTGGCAGCCTCTAGGCAAGAAAAAACAATTTTGGGGGGAAATTAAAGCATGTATAATCAAAGCATGAGCATTAGAATGGAAAAGCTGGTTTGGGAAAGAGCCAAATCTAGAAACTTTTTTTTTGTTGCTGTTTTTAAAAGTAGAAGGATAACAGAGTAATAGGGAGACTTACCGAATTACAGACAAAGTGGTAGGAAATTATCAGTGGTTGTTATTCTACCTATTGGTATCTTCAAGATAGTTTCTCAGGAAAACAAATAGACAAATAATAGTGAGTTACAGACAAAAGAGGTAGGAAATTATCAATTGTTGTTGTACTATACTTTGGTTTCTTCAAAGTGGTTTCTAGAGAAAACAAATAGAGCTACACATGAGTGATCAATTAAATAACCATTGACTATTCTCAATGGTTGTTGTTGGAAACACATAGTAACAAACATATATCCATTTATGAAATAATATAAGAAGAATACAAACATTACAGAGTTATGGACAGATTGGTGGGAAATTATCAGTGGCTGAAGTAATACATGTTGGTATCTTCAACGTGGTTTCTCAGGAAAACAGAGATATGCAAGAAAGATCTAACAAGTAGTTGCAGCATAAGGGTTGTGAAAAATAGTGGATTACCTCCTCACCAGTGACTCCTTTCACTGAGGTGCAACGGCTGGAAGGAAGGCCAGGATTGAAAAGAAGGACCAAGAGACTAGCACCAGTATCCAGCAATAGGTTGTTTACTTTTTCCTCTACAGTCATGATTACCAGGGGCTCCTCCATGCAGATGACGGTCTGGCCAGAGGGAGAAGGGAGAGTATGCCCTGGGCCCCTTCATTCCTGTTGGACCAGTTGGTAGGAGGGGTCTGAGCTCTGGGGCCTTTGCTTCAGAGGGCAGTCTGACCTCCAGTGGTCACCTTTACAGTCAGGGCATGGCCCAGGGGGCTTCTTAGGGCTTTTGACAGTGGTAGCAGATGAGGAAAGAGCCAAGTCTAGAAACTTTTTATGGGGCTGCAATAGTGATTATAACCTATAACCTGTGGGCTCTTAGATCTCTCTATTGATTGAGTCTGATATTTTGTCATAAGTCTCTCTAATTATAGTTGATCTTACCTAAAGAATTTAAGGATTTTTGTTAAGCTTTTATAGAGTTTACTGTAAGTTTTTCTTAACGACCCATAACAATAGTCAGTTACAAATGTAGCTAGAAACTACAAGAAGGGGTTAGTAATTGGAGTACTTTCCTATATCTCGATTATTATGATGACATTGTTTTATACACGTGGTGGATTGACAACTGGTGGTCAACTTATAACACCCAGCTGAACTGACTAAATGAGTGTGGGAGCCCACCTGAGGATTGTTGCCAGCTACATAAGAGGCAGACTTGGAGAAGAAAAAGTTAGGCTGTTGGGAGCTGAGAGAGGCTTTTGGGAGCTGCTGGAAGCTCTAAGAAGTTGTTGGTTCTTTTGGAAGAGCTTATCATGCAGGCTTTCCTGATGAACTTGGCTGTTTTCATCCTCCAAGGAGCTCAGAACCTTGTTGGCATTGAGAATAGCTTCAGTTCACTTTGGGGGAGGTCTGGTCCTCACTCTTTTTTTTTTTTTTAATTAGCCTAGTGCAGCGTTTTCCAATTAGAAATTTATTTATTGTCTTTTTGAGACAGGGTCTCGCTATGCAGTTCAGGCTGGCCTTCATCTCACTTTGTAGCCCAGGCTGGTCTCAAACTTGCAACCATCCTCCTGCCTCAACCTCCCAAGTGCTGGGATTACAGGCATGCACCACCACACCCGGCTTTCTGGTCCTCACTCTGAGCATCGCTTCCTGGCTCCAGAGGGGAAGATGGTGCACTACTCAGCCTCCTGGAGAAGCTTGTCACATTGGCTTTCCTGATGGGAGCTCAACTGTCCTGATCATTGGAGGAGCTCGGGATCTCACTGTTGCTGAGGATGGCTGTGGTACTTTTCAGAGGAGCTCTGGTTCTTACTTTGTGCATCACTTCCTGGCTCCAGTGTAGATCCCTCAGCCTGCTAGCAGAGATCCTTCATCCTGCTGGCACAGACTTTCTAGGTTCCACCACTGACCTTTGGGGCCTTCCAGCACAGATCTGTGAAACAGGCCTGCATGAGATATTGCTATGGGCTCTAGGTCTCCAGGTAGACTCATCGGAGGCATTGTTATGATCTCTAGGCCTTCAGCTGGACTCATGCAGGACATTGCCCTGGGATCCAGGCCTTCAGCTGGTCAAGATTCTTTGGTCTTTAGTGTGTGGACAGATTTCCTGCACTCTCTTGTATATGATTCTTTGGGTGACTATTATAAATAATCTTATAAAATATGTGTCCTATATTATATTGTTCTCCCTTGCAAATTAACCCCAAACCAGCACAAAATATCTTTTGGTGATACTTTTTTTTTCTGGATGCTCAAAACCAAGTTAAAGTGAGATCTATATCAATCAAAATTAACATCTTGCTCTCTACCAAGTTCAGTTAAGTCTTCTCAGGATTTACCTTGGAACCATGTATAGAGCCTCTCAGGGTTTTTGTCAGTGTCAGCCATCAGGATAAGTCATGGCCTTTGTTTGATGAAGTTGTTTTCTGTGAAAGCTTGGGAGGTTTTTATCTCTTGGTGACTCTTGGCACATTACACATTGTTGATTTTTGTTCTCTGTGGTCCAGCAATCTCTCTGGTCAGGAGGATGAATGACTCACCAAACTTGTAGGATGTCACAGAAAAGGGTCCTTTATTTCTTGGGTCCTCATTGACCTCAGGGGGCCAGAGCCAAAATATTGGCTGTCTTTTTAGTTTCGGCCTCTGATTTGAGTTGTTAAACACCTAGAAGGGAAGATCAGTGACATTAGCATTGTAGTGGATGCAGTGGGCTTAATTATTATAATTTTATCTAAATACCAAGCACTTTGAAATATAAAATAGAACCAGAGGACTGTTATTTCTTATTAATCATGGTTGTTCTAGTAATTGAATCCCTGTAGAATGTTAATAGACAATGGTTATATAGTTTTACAAAGAAAACGAGATCAAAAGCCATACATAAAACATTGTATTGTCTCCCTACTATAAGAACCTGAAAGAATAAATAAAATCTGAAAGGTACAATAGATATTGCAAAAGGGAAAGAAACTGCTCAAAAGGAAAGAAAAACTGGGATGAGGGAAAAGAGGAAAGAAAGAAGGAAGGGAAAAAAATATATATATACAAGATAGCTAAGATAATTGTACTACTAATTTCTATTGGTTTATTGCAAGGAACAGTTCCCGTTTAATTGTTTGATTAATCTTACATGCCTATATCTGGTTACCTGAGTAACACTTTGTAGATAACAATATGTAACACAACAACCATTGTTAATTTCCTATCACCTTGTTTTGAAATTCTGTATCATTTATACTGATTTTGTGTTGTTTTGTTTGTTTTTGTTATTTTGTTTTTGTTCTTTTCTCTTTAAAATAAAAAAGCCATATGTAGTATTTTAGCATGACAATCATGATGACATTATTTTTGTAACATACTTAAATATCCACCTTAGTATACAACAGCTCTTTTAGTCAATCATCTCCTTTTGATCATTAGACATTAAATGTCATAAATAAATTTTTACCTAGTTTGTTATCCTTTAATGGGATGTCAAAGAAGTTTGTGACATTGTCTGGGCTGTTTAATGTCTAAGCACTTTCCAGTGTAGTGGTACATATATAGCACACATATCATCTAAGTTTTTGTCTAAGAAAGTTATCATTTGACTAGTGACCTCATGTTGGCTTGATATGAACCTGCTATAATAAATACTTAGAACCCAAGGGAAAGCGATGTGTCAGTCTAAAAGAAAAAGTTTGTCATCACAAATAATCCCAGCTTTACATTTTGGAATGCCTGTATACCTTGTGGCATGAACACATTTAATATGCCATGAAATAAGCAATAATGAATTGTTATAGCCATATGAAATTTTTTCTTAATTTCATTTTGTACCAAGAGCAACTTTTAATGAGAAACCTTACTATTTTGCCCATAGAAGACAACTTCGTGTCTCTTTTCTTCATATATAGCCTCCAACTGAGTCATTTCTACATGTTTTGTCATCTATTTAGACCTTTGTTTCTTCTGACAGCATTTTTGATATCTCTCTGTAAGATGTAACACAGCAAGGATGTGTCTAAAGAAATTGTAAAGATTTAGTATACAAACTTTTTGTATAGTTTGGTCTAACATTGAACTTTCATAGGATTTAATTTTTGTATCTTGACAAGCTTTTAAGTAATTAAGATTTTTGTGGGTCTCCCTTTATTGGTGCCTTTGTTCTAGCTTTGGCTGGGGCTGTGCCTCGCCCCCTGCCTCCACATGTGCATGGCACCAGCACTCATTCTTAGGGTCTGATCATAATTTTTATTTGCATCTTTACAAGCCAATCGAATCACAGTAATTTTCATCCGTTGTGAATGAGGAATCTATTTGTGGCTGTCTCTTGTGTTTCTATGACTACTGGCATCCACAGCTTGCTGCTGGCTCCTGGTATTGCCATTTGATGATGTTAGAGTAGTGACCTTGCGTGTGTGCAGAAAGGGTCGGCACCAGGATGCTGAGCACAAGTGGAGGCTTGGGAAAGAGGAGCTGTTGCTGTCAATCAGCAAACTGGACAAAAGCAGAGCCACCTGGTGCTCTGAGCCAGGGCATGCAGCCTGTGTTCCCTGACTCAGCTGACATGATATTTTCACAAAGCAGGCATTTCGGCTCCTCCTATCTCCTCCACCCGGGCCCAGCTCTAGGCTTGGCAGAACTCTATGGTTCCCCTCGCATGCTGCTGGCCAGCCCCCGCGGATCTAGCTCTCTCCGACCCCAGGGTCTGTGAGAGGTGATGGGAGGAGCAGAAATAGTGGTTTCTCCTCTTCTTACACTTTTCACTCTCGGTGTCCCCTTTAAAAATCTGTAGGTGTCTAGCTAGATTGGAGCAAATTTGTTTTTTCTCAAATCTTTTAGATTGAGTGGGTCTCTCCCCAAAGACTTTGATGTCTAGGGAGTTAGTTTTTCCCACTGAACCTCTCTCTTGGAAGTGGAAGCCTCGGTTGAGAGCATTTTGTTTTCTCTGTGTCTGAAACAGGAGCTGTTAGCTGTGAGCTCCATAATGGACTGAGACTGAGTGAAACAAATTTTCAGTTTAGAAAATCTCAGGGGAAATAATTTTCCCTCTACCATGTGTCCTTTTAAGATTTATTTCTAATTCTCCTCCCAATTAGCAAGATGTAGGGTGCCTGCCTGAGGAAACCATGGATTACATTTGGTTACCTCCTGTAACATTTTTGTTAGATCTTTTGTTGGCAGGTGAGCCTCTGAGCTTTTAAGCAGGCTTTGGAGCAACTATACACATCTTTGCACCTTGGTTGATAAATTTTGCCCTATGCTTTATTCCTGGATAAAAGAAAATAAATGGCTTTTCACAGCAGGAAGATTCACCCTTCTCCCTTGTAGAAGGTCTTTTCTCCTCTCTTCTCCAGGTGTCCCTGAAAAAGTTCTTTTTTTCTGTGAAAGCTTTCTCTGTCTCAAACCCTTTCCACTCTGAGTAGACTTTATGCCCTCAGACTTTAAAATCCCAGTCCAAGGAGTCAGGTCCCTGTTCAGGTGCCAGTTACCGGGGACTGATCTGGCCCCTAACCTCCGAAAATGAGGTACAGCAAAAACTTAACTAAAGTGACAAGTGGTATGGTATTTGGGAAGGCCAAGAAGGTCAAAACTCACTGGGAGTGAAAACTCTCTGGCAGTAGAGAAAAGAACCCTTCTGGATCACCATATTTATTGGGCCTTCACAAATTTGGGGAGTGCAGGAAGATTAGCACACATTGCAGGCAAAAGCCCACAAAAATGAGCAGCGTCTTAAGAAACAAAGGCAATAAATCTTGCCAATTAAGAGAACTGTTTGATCTCTAAATCTGAGGGTTTTATTGGCCTGAAATAGGGAGTGTCAGCAGCATGTCCTCTGCTGCCTCACCTGTGGTGTTATGGTGACTTCAGGGTACTGTGAATATGAGCTTTTCCAACATCACCATAAGTCTTTTTGTGGTAAGCAATTTAACCCTTACATTGCCTGGTCTCTGACAAGTTCATGTTCCCCCGTACCAAAAACTGTATAAAAGCCCTGAATTTATTTTTATTCATTTATTTATTTTTTGTTTTTTCTTTTTTCTGGTATCAGGAATTGAACTCACAACCTTGCGCTTGCCAGGGAAGCGCTGTGCCACCGAGCTAAATCCCCAGCCCCAAAGCCCTAAATTTAAATATCTATGGTTTTTCATTTATCAGAAACCCCCTCCCTGACCATGGCAAGGATCTTTTTTATTCTTTCTAATTACTAAACATGCACTTGCTCATTCACTACCACTTGCTGTTTTATCACCTTCAATCTTCTTCACCCAGAACAAGGATCCAGAGCAGAGGGAGCTGATTACAGTGGGAAAACTGGACATCCATATGTCAAAGATGGAAACTAGACACCTGTCTTCTACCCTGTACAAAAATCAGCTCAAAATGGAGCAAAGACCTTCATGTATGATTTGAAACCAGGAGAAGAAAACACTTGAGATGGCACAAGGAAGTGCTGAGTGAGATTCAACAGCTTAGGAAACAAAAGAAAGAATTGGAAAATGGGATTACATCAAATTACACAGGGTCTGCACAGCCAAGGGAGTAAAAAAAAGTGAAAAGGCAACTGATGTTAAGGGAAGATGGCAAGAAAATGTTTGCCTACTCTTTGTCAGACAGGATTAGTGCCCAGAATATATAGAGAACTCACAAAACTTAACAAAAATAGTAATCCAATCAAAAATGGGCAAATGACTGGAAACATTTTCATTTATTTTATTTTATTTTATTGGTTTTTATCTGGTACTGGGAATCGAACTCACAACCTCGCGCTTGCCAGGCAGGCACTGTGCTACTGAGCTAAATCCCCAGCCCCTGGAAACATTTTCAAAAAATGTATTTGTACACCTAAAATGTAACAATAAATTTAATTAATAAGGAGGGTGGGCCCCTAGTGCACGGGGAGCCTCGGGCGGGTAGCGCCGGTCTTCGGACCGGCGACTCACTCCCGGCCTCATCGTTCCCCGGAAGGAGGGCTTCCGGCGCACAGGGAGCCGCAGGTGGGGAGCGCCAGTTTTCCGGCTGGCTAGCTTCCTGCCT